TTTGACCTGGGGATCCAGCCGCATTATACACGAGTGACCTTTTAGATCTACGTCCACCCTTTACCTGGTAATGCCCGTTGACAGCTGGGGGTGGGGTGGGGAGAGTGTAGGGGTGCTCTCTCCCTCTCTCCCTCCCTCTGCCTCTCCTCCCTCGCTCCCCCCTGCAATCCTCTCGCTTCCTCCCTCCCACCTCCCTCGCTCCCGCCCTCCCTGCTGCATTTTGCATGAGCTATCTAGGTCATTAGCATTTTAGCGTATGCAAGACTTGACAAAGCTGATGAGGGGCCAGATGGGCCTCGCTCTTATGGGTTTTTTTTTTTTCCTTCCTCTCTCTCTCTCTCTCTCTCTCTCTCGCTCACTCTCTCTCTTTCCCTTTTCCCCCTTCACCACTTTGGACCTGAACGAGAGGACTGCAGCGGGCGAGTTCCGGAAGGTTGAATCCCCAGGTCCCGGCCCCAGACCGCGGCAGCTAGCGCCTGCGGCACGCCCGGCCCGGCTGCGCCTGCACTCAGCGATTGAGGTAAAGGCGGCGGCCGCGCGCACTGCCCCGGCTGCCGCTGCCGAGCTCCTGCTGCCTTCCTCGTCCCTCGCCCTCTTCTTCCTTCTCCTAGCCCCCTTCAGTTTCCTGGGCAAAGCGGAGGGCAACATGGATGGGTGGGTTTACTGCGCTGGGGCGAGATGGGGTCGGTGTTGTTTTTTCATTGTCTGGAGCTGCAGGGGAGGCGAGGCGCGGGGAGAGGGGAGAAGGGAGCCGGGGTAATTAACACGGGGGAGGCACCCCTCCGTCTCCCACTTCCACCCACACCCCCATCCCTCCACCCCCTCCGCTTTGCAGGAAAAAGCCTGGATGCGAAAGGATGGGGGAGAACAAAGAGCCTTTGGAAGACGTCGCTGTTATCTCATTGTCTGTGTGATTGGGGGAGCTGCGGCGGGGAGGATGCTGTGGTCCCTTCCTCCGGCGCTCCCCCACCCCCATCCCTCTCCCCGCTGTCAGTGCGCAAGTACACGCGCCGCTTTTTATTTCTTTTTCCTCGTTTTCTTATTCCATCTTCTACCCACCCCCGCTTCCTTTCTTTCACCTTTCCTTCCTTCCTTCGTCCTTTCCTTCCTCAGGAGAAAGGCCTCTCTCTCCGTGTTCACAGCGGACCTTGATTTAAATGTCCATACAATTAAGGCACGCGGTGAATGCCAAGAATGGGGCTGGCTGAGCACCTTGGGTCCACAAGGGCCCGCCAAGGAAGGAGCCACCGACCGAGCCGGGCGCCCTCCGCAGACCTCCGCGCAGCGGCTGCGGGCGTGAGGGGAGGGGTCTCGAGCTTTCTCCGGCTGCGGATCCCGATCCCGTGGGGTGGGGAGGTGTGCAGCCTGTGACAGACAGGGTCTTAAAGATGCAAACAGACTCAGGGAAAGAAACAGAAGCTGATTCTGTGACAGAAGTAGATCTGTGCAGCACAGATGCGGTGTGCGTGGGGTGGGGGTCGTCTGGGAGCGCATTGCGGAGTGCTTGTGTGTGCAGATTTTTCTCTGGGCTCAGGACTCATTGTATGTGGGTCGACACCTTTCTCCGTGGCTGTGTTTTTGTTCTGAGCTTAGTTTTTTGGTTTGGCCTTTAAAAAAAAAAATAATTTGGCATCCAGAGACTGGCAGACTGCTCCAGGGCCTGGACTGCGGATATATTGTGTTCTGCTTGAGGTTTGGAGAGGAGGGCAAGGGGTTGCAAGGGAGAGGGGAACCTGTTTGTCACCCTTTGCTGTAGAGCTGAGAGCACCTGACAAGCTTAAGAAGTCGTTGGGCTAGGTGGACAAGAAGGAGCCAGCTCCCGGCAGGTTCACAAGCTCCTTCTGAGCTGAAAGCCTGGCCATAGCTCTAAGGAGCACCTCACGCCTTCCCTGTAGCTGTTATTGTAGTTTCAGGCAGAGATCCAGGAGCTGCAGAGGAAGAGAGAGGCACAATAACCTACACGGACCCCAGGGAAGCATGTGTTCCTTTAAAAATGTGAACAGAAGGAAACACAGAATGTGTGCAAGTGGGGGTCTGAGGAAAGACTGTTTTGAAAGAAACTGTCAGGGAATGGAAAGGGTTAAGCCTCCCTCATCCTGAAGAACCTGCTTCCCAAATCAGGCCTTCCTCCCATCACTAGACCCTGAGCAGCAGCTGGTCCTAGAGACCCCCCTCGTCCTGCGCTGCCACAATTTCATCCCATTTCCAGCTCTGTATTAACCACCAAGCTACAGCGGATGGGGCAAGACCTAAGCTCATTAATTTCCAGGTGGAGGATATGGAGGAGGGGCAGGTCCCTGCAGCAGAGGGAGGAGCAGAGAAAAGAGGCCAAGAGCTGGATCCTCTGCCCAGGAAGCCTGCTGCATCCCTTCCCCCGAGCATGGCAGAGGCCTGGCTTTGCAAGGCCAAGGCCATAAGGGATGCTTAGGAGATTAATTTGATTCCTGACACAGCAACCAAGGCCTAAGAGTCTCCACGGAAGCTTACTAAGGACTTCTTTCCTCTCCAAAGCCTCAGTCTAGCCGCTTAAATAAACTAGCATTCAGTGATGCCTTGAACCAAGGCCCCTCCCTAACCTCAGTGCCCCCAAATATTTATTGAGTACCTACTATGTGCAATCCTTGTGTAATTATTACCTCTTAGGCTCTTCATTTGGCCTCCTAAGGGAGTGTTTAGAATCAGGCAGAGGCTAAGTGTGTTGCACCCCACCTAGATACTTCCAGAACCTTCTCTGGGTCTGCAGAATGTGCCACAACCTGCTTGCTCCTGCAGAGAGAAAGCTGCAGTGCACATCCTGCAGACTGCAGGTGCTGGGCTACCTCTGGAGTCCCAGAAGGCAAGCTTGGCTGCAGGACAGAAAGGGAGAACAGCTTCTCACCCCTGCGCCTTAACAAGCCTTGGCTAGCCGCCACTGCCTTTAAAATATACATCCCTTGAAATTGGTAGCTTCCTAAGTCCTGGGGTCCCTGCCGCCCTTTCTGGACAGGTTCAGGAAGAAGAAAGCAGTCAATATTGGGCCTCATTGGGGTGTAAAGCCCCTTGCTCTGCCCTCTCTGCTCACTGTGAAGGCTGCTGAATGCTTCTTTTAAGCATGGTTTAAGCCTCTGATTACTAAACCCTTTGCCCCACAAATGTCCACACTGGAGAGCCTCTTTTCAGTAATTGCTTCTCCGTAATACCTTCAGAGGTTGCTGTACCCTTCACTGATGTGCCCTCTGGTCAAATCTCCAGATGCCTCCCCACGTAATGCCCCTTTCAGATGCTTTAAGCTGAGAGCTTAAACTGCAGGTACCATGGCCGCCGCCTGCCAGGTTTCTGCTTTGGATAATCGATGATGGGAGGGGCATATTTTTTACTTCATTACTTATATAAACTCTTGCTCCAGAAAGCGTTCACGTGTGTGGGCATGTTCTGGATCTGCTAGGTCTGCGTGCATGGGTGTAGGTATTTGCCTGTGTCCGCCAGGTGGGTCTCATTACAAAATGTATGTCTATGTAGGGCTTTAATGGCCGAAAATGGCAAAGAGATGAATGGACAACTTGGCCCCATGTGTAATTGCGAGGCCCCTTCTGTGCTCAAACAAGTTGTCCCCGTGAAGGTCAGCCCTTTCCTTCTGTGTTTGGGGCCTATTTATACCACGTCATTTTACAAGAAACCTGAAAATGTCTCCCCTTTGAGGGCATTTAACTCTTTAGCATCTTCTTTTCTTCCCTATTTGAGCCCCTCTAACTACAGTCTGTGGCTTACATGAAAGGGGAATTATATGGTTAGGAAAAAGTAGGACAGTGCTGACTGAATGCGCAAAGAAGGCCCTGATGGGTTTATACACACCACCACCATCACAGTCCTGCGAACTAATATGATTCTTGTGGTAACTGTACCAGATACTTTCAGATTTAGAAATGTATCAAAGGAAAAATTGGTAATACTCTTCTTTCCCCACCAGTGACAGCCCAGATCTCCGCTTAAGCGGAAAAGAGATTGACCTTCTAACAGAGGCAAAGGTAAACTCCTGTAAGTTACTTCTGTCACCAAAGGGAGGGGGCGGCTTTTGTGAATGTATGAGGAGCTTCTGCCAGAGAAATTTTTGGGGGAGGGGTGTGCCCATGTGCACACATATGTACATACATTTCCCCACATAACCATATCCAGTGCCAGCATTTAGAGGAAGGCATGTAGCCACCAAAAGTCCATCCACCTATGCTGCTTCCACAGGGAAATCATTTTCTCTTTCCTGCTCTTGAACTTACATAATACCCCCTCCCATTCCAACCTGAGAATGGAGCCTTTTGGGGGCAGCTGCAAAGCAGTTCTCCCTGGGACAGATGGAGCCGCCCTTTCCGCATCTACTCTGTGGGTGGTTTCAGGGCCCATGAGTCAACACGAGGCGTTGTGCTGGGGGTATGTGTGTTGGAGGCTGAGCTGGCTGATTCACAGTGACAAGGATGTCAATAGTAACAAGAATGAGAATGATGGTACCTAATAAAGAATTTTTTCCTCCATGTCCCATCTACAATTCTTTCACTGGGTGTTTTGCCAAGTCTTTCTCAATCTCATTTCAGCTTTTTTTAAGAAAATGTATTTAATACTCAATTGTATCACAAATGTAGACATAGAAGAAAAAAGGACTTCAAGCGGAATTTCTGCGAGGCAAGGTGTGCTGGTGTTTGCCTTATAGAGCTGTTCGGAAGGCCTGGAATGACCCCGAGCACCAAATTTAGATGGCCTCAAAAAAAAAATCAAATCAGGCCTTATTGAGGGCAAGGAATGTTCCAGGTCAGAAATAAAAGTGTCAGCAACTCTCAGTAGGTTCATCTTTTCATTTCTTGTCCTTCTCCCTTTTGTCTTAAAATAGAAACGCTACCCAGACCTGAGGGCTTGGGTCAGGGGCTCCGGGGCCCAAAAAACAAACTTCAGAATCACTAAGGGCTTTCTCTCTGAGAATTACCGTGGGAGGGTTCCTTTGAAATTCAAATCCAACTTATTTGTTGCTTAAGCACACACAAAATACTGAGGCCTGGGGTCCAGGAGGCGTTAGTTTGGCTGCACGTGCGTGTTGCAACTTCGTGTGAGGTTCTCCGGGCGGTTCTGCGGCGACTTGCGGCCCCGCGAAGGTGGGTGCGGGCTCCATTTCGGCCCCCGCCGGCCCGCACCGCGCCCAGGGCCTCCCAGTGACTCGCTTCCCAGCTCGCACGAGGCATTCTCGTCTCTTTCTTTTCGAATGCACCCGAGACCTCTCCATGGAGCAAGGCGAAGATGAACAGGCGCTGGTTCCCCATTTCCTTTTCGCTCCCATTTTCCTGTCTTGATATATATATTTTTTTCCTTTCCCTCCCGATTCTTGCAGACCTGGAACTCCTGAGATTCGGGTCCTCCTGCAGTTCCCAAAGCTTTGGGCCCAAATGAGGTGTGGGTAGACACGGGTCAGTCTCAGGTTCATTCTAAGATGCGCTACAATCCCAAGTTCTAAGGCGATGGGGAGGTGAAGAGGTCAGGGCGCCCCAGCTCTGAGCGACAAACGCCAGGGACTGTCCCCGGAGAGGTCACATTTTTCCTTTTCCACACACATCAATTTCACTCTAGCGCCAGACGGACCCTCGACGGTCAACGTTAGAGATTATTACGGAGTCGGGGGCTGGAACTGGGGCGAATCAAGACGAGGGTACATCTTGAGCTTCCAAAGGTGGCCGAGCCACACCGAAGGGCTGGGCGGGAGGTCGCGCCCTCCCCTGGCCAGCAGCAGCACTCCGGAGCGGGAGGCCTGGGCCTAAACCCCGGGCCCTCCCCGCGGCGCAGCCAGCCCGACTGTGCGCCTGGCGCCCGCAGCCCGGTTCCCCTTGTCCTCCTCCCGGCGTCTCTCCGATCCACTTCAGGACCTGCGGCCTCGAGGACCTCATCCTGCACCCCGGAAAGCCTCAGAACTTGCAAGAAAGAGGGCTGGCAGGTGCAACCTGGGAAGGGATACGGAGAAGGGGGAGGTGAGGAGAGGACCTCACCGCGAAATCGCTTGGGGGTTGGGTTTTACTTGTTGGAGTGAGGGGTCCGTCCCAGTGCATCCTCCTGGACTTCCCATTAGGACGCCCCTCCCAAACCCCCAGCCTCCTCTCCCAGTGACCCGGCCTGGGAGCAGGCATCTTCCCCCAGGTCCCAGCACTTGTCCTCCGAATCCCCAAACACCCTCCTTCCCCACTCCCGCAACCCTCTCCACAGAAGCCAAAACCACAACAAAAATCTTCAACCCACAAAGAAAAAGACACATTCCTCCTTCGGCCTTAGTCAGCGTTAGTTCCAGATCCGACGCCGGAGGGGACGGAGCCGCTCGAAGTCGGTTGGAAGGAAGGCGCAGAAGGCTCTTTCTGTCTTCAAGAATCTCCTTGCAAATGCAATCGCTGCTGCCATTAGGACGCGGTCTCCGTTTTCCAAAAGAACTCAACGTCTTCCGTTTCCTCATCTGTTGGGCCCATCAGCATACAGTGACTGTTGCAAGGTTTCTTTGGGTCAACAAGCCTTGCCCTGAAATAACCTTCAGAGCCCTGGCCTCAAGGTCACGGGCCGGGTGGCCTCTACAGGCCACACACATCAGGACCAGCATGTGCCTGACTGAGGCTGTGCCACCAAGACCTTCGGACATGCAGAACGTGCCCTGAGCTGCACGAGGGGCTTCCATCAGCCCCCTCCCACTCCACACAGATTGATGTGACAATATTTATTCCCATTTAATTGAGACACTGGTTTAATTTCAGATTGCTTCAGCTTAAGGCCCAATGGGGTTTTCTGCAGCTCTTTTCCCCAGTGCCTCTACAGAAATTAATTGCTGTTAACATCCAATTTTGGCTTTATTATTTGTTAGCCAATTATGTATCCCATAGCCCAGGCCCCTTGCTGCTGTCAGCCTCTGCTGGAATCAGCTCACGCTATGCCGGGCTTCTGCTCCTCTGCCTTCCCCTCTATTCAGACTCTCTCCTTCCAGGATGATTTACCCGCCCCGCAGGCATTTTGTCTGTGTCCCAGCACTAGCTGAGCTGGGGGAGGTGTCTTTAAGACGTTTTCCCCCTTTGGAGGGAAATGTCTTCTTTGCAGTGGAAATAAATCATTTCCATTCAAAAAAGAATCTAAGCTTCTCCACTCTCTCTTCCCTATCCCCAGGCTTGCTTTCTCTGGAGCCATTTTTGGAGAGCAGTTTTCCGTCAAACGCAAGCAAGGTGCCTCGGCCTCAGGGCCCTCCTCCCCACCTCCCTAGGAGCCCCTCCCAGACTGCCTTAAAGCCACCACGTGTATATAACACCATAGACTCAAACGGGGTGCTTCGAGGGTGTCATTTCACATTTCAAGGAAGGAAACTTGATAAAGTAATTTGGGGAAAGAGAGATTTTCATCATTTTCAGAGATGAGGAGGGCAGCTCTCCGCTTCTCCCTGGCAGAGGCCCGGGAAAGCATTCCAGCCTTGCACTGTCAGGCCCTGCTGGATGGAGCTGATGCAACTGGGGACAAGAGCCTTTTAAAAAGTGTTCTTTTGCATCAGTTTTTTGTGCCTTGAGTTCACTGATAGAAGCAAACACTTCCCATGACTGGTGCTCTGGAAACATATAAGTGAGAATCCTAACGATAGTGGAAGGCCCTTCTTTGTCTGCTTCCTCTCCTTCCCCCATTTGGAAATAATGCCTCCCATGCCATAATATGCCCTCACACTTATCTCTGGCAGTTCTGTAACAACCTGCGCAGTGTCGGCCTCAGAACCGAATAGAGAGAAAACAAAATGTCAGAGCCGCTGGCTTGAGCTGCGGCCCCTTCAGATGAAACCCGAGGTGGTGGGAGCGGGGGGTGGTTCCTCTCCGCCTAGAAATCCTATGGTCAGATTTGTAGTAGGTGGGAGGTGGGTGGTGACTGTTGTGGAAGCTGGGACATTAAGAAGGTGCCTTACACAGAAGGCTCAATAAATACCACCCAGATTGGATGTAATTAAATTAGCAGCAGCTGTCCTGCTTTTTCTGTCAAAAGCTACAATTGGGCATGGAGGCCTCTTGGGCAAAGGCTAGATAGAGTGGCATCCTAGGAAAGGAGGGAGCTTAACAATGTTTCTGGTTCATCTTCTACCCTCACCCCTGCCTAGCTTGTCCAGATACATGGAGTTTTCTTTTCTTTTTATCTTTTTTTTTTGAGATGAAATCTGGCTATGTCACCCAGGCTGGAATGCAGTGGTGTGATCTCAGCTCACTGCAAACTCCATCTCCCAGGTTCAAGAGATTCTTCTGACTCAGCCTCCAGAAGAGCTGGGATTACAGGCATGCACCACCACGCCTGGCTAATTTTTTGTATTTTTAGTAGAGAAAGGGTTTCACCATGTTGGCCAGGCTGGTCTCGAACTCTGGACCTCAGGTGATCCACCCGCGTTGGCCTCCCACAGTGCTGGAATTACAGGCATGAGACACCACACCCGGCCAACTTTTATTTTCAAAACAGTTCAAGCATAGTAATAGCCCACATACCATGCTCAGTCCCAGACAGAATTTCTGGGAAAACAAGAGGGAAGAGCTCTATTTTAGAGCCCTTCCATCATCCTTTGAGAGCACTTTAACTTTCGAAGATTCTCATATTCAAATGTCTCTTGTCACCACTCCAGTGCACATCTCAACCAAGGCCTTTCCCACTGGGGTATGCCCTCTAAACAAAACTAATAACAACAACAACGACTATAATCAACTTCTATTTCCTTCTGCTCTCCTTCCCCCAGCCCCTTGAAAATACCTACATTCTCAATGTTTAAGAGGTGTTAAGAGAAAGACAGTGAAGTTAAACCATTTCACACTAACACATGAGTCACTTGAACAAGACTCTTAACTTCCCCAGAGATATTTTACATTTTAGAAGAGATGTTGGCTGGGCACGGTGGCTCATGACTGTAATCCTAGCATTTTAGGAGGCCGAGAAGGGAGGATCACTTGAGCCCAGGAGTTTGAGGACAGCCTGGGCAACATGGCAAGACTCTATCTCTACAAAAATGTCAAAAAATTAGCCAGGTATGATGGGGCACGCCTGTATCCCCAGCTACTTGGGAGGCTGAATGTGGGAGGATCGCTGGAGCCCCAGAGGCTGAGGTTGCAGTGAGCTGTGTTCATGCCACTGCACGCCAGCCTGGGAGACAGAGTGAGACTCTGTCTCAAAAAAAAAAGAAAAAGAAAAAAGAAAAGGAATAAAGAAAAGAGAAAGACAGAAAAGAGGCACTTGCCTACCAAGTCTAATTGTATGAGTTTCTCGTAAGGTACCCAAAAGTGTAAGGCAGAATCACCTCAGCGCTGCCACTTTTTGCTTGACGATACCATCATCGTCCCTTCGTTCCAGACACACCAGTGTTCAGCCTTCCAAACATAACATAACAGGAAGACACATATAAAGAACCCTAATGAATCTTCATGGCTTGCTCTGCCCTCTGCCCCCTCTGTTAGACCAACTGATAGGAGCAGTCCAAGCTTTTGGCAGGAACATCTGTGATGTTGGCATGACAGGTGGATATCAGTCTAGGTCCAGGCTACCATATCTTTGCAAATTTGAAACCAGCCCTTTACATAATTGTGAGTTCTGATTTTGCTATTTCCATGAATTTATTTATTTATTTATTTTGAGACAGAGTCTAGCTCTGTCACCCAGGCTGGAATGCAGTAGCGCCATCTCAGCTCCCTGCAAACTCCGCCTCCCAGGTTCAAGCAATTCTCCTGCCTCAGCCTCCAGAGTAGTTGGGATTACAGGTGCACATCACTATGCCCAACTAATTTTTGTATTTTTTAGTAGAGATGGGGTTTTAGCATGTTGGCCAGGCTGATCTCAAACTCCTGACCTCAAGTGATCCACCTGCGTCAGCCTCCCAGAGTGCTGGGATTACAGGCATAAGCCACCATGCCTAGCCTCCATGAATTATATTTAACTAATTATTTGATTAAATACCAGACTATGTGACACAGTAAGCCCACTTCACCCTGCTAACCCAAGGTTTTCTCAAAGCGGCCCCACGCAAAGCTGGAACTTGGGACCAGACACTTCCCTGGGTTGGTTTCGGCCACTCTTCCATCCTCATCCAGCTCCTTTCCTGGCTTAACCGGAGCTCATCTCCCGGCAGCCCCAACTCTCCAAGCACCCCGTCCCACGACCCATTCTCAGTGCGTGTAAGCCTCCTGCAGTGGCAAAGCCGGCACCTGGGTGCAAGTTCTCTCAGGGCAGGAAGTGGTCTGTTAGGACTTTTAGGGAGAGGGGGAGAGTGAGAACCTTCCCAGCCTCCTCCCAGCCTCTTAGAAAACTTTGCCTTTGAAAATGTCAACTGCTGCTCCCTTCTTTCCAGCCTTTCACTCCTACCTCAGCATCTTGCCGCCTTCATGTGGATAATCAACAGCAACAGCATAGTGTGAGGGTTGCTGCCAGTCCAGACTGCACTGCTTCTTTTTTTTTTTTTTTTTGAGATGGAGTCTTGCTCTGTCACCCAGGCTAGAGTGCAGCGGCATGATCTTGGCTCACTGAGACCTCTGCCTCCTAAGTTCAAGCAATTCTCCTGCCTCAGCCTCCTGAGTAGCTGGGATTACAGGTGTGCGCCACCACACATGGCTAATTTTTGTATTTTTAGTAGAGATGGGGTTTCACCATGTTGGCCAGGCTGGTCTCAAACCCCTGACCTCAGGTGATCTACCCCACCTCAGCCTCCGAAAGTGCTGGGATTACAGGTGTGAGCCAGCGCACCCAGCCCGGACTGCGTTTCTATTGTACTAAACCTGTCCTATCCATTCCCGAATCCCTCATCACTCATCACACTACTGACAAAAACCTAGCCAAGACAGTATGTGGGGGCAGCTAGGAAAATTATTTAATGTGATCTCAGGGCTTCTTAGAAGGCTAGAAAAACTTGGTGCCTTCCGCTTTTTCCTTTTGAGGCTTCCAGTACATTAAGAAATGCCAAACCAGAGCTATCAAAACGGCTGTACGAATAGCATCTTCCAAAAATATTACGAAAAGTACTGCCAGCGAGAGGCTTTGTGACTCTGTCACCCTGTGCGATCCCATGAAAAGACCCTGTATGTTAAGGCCTCGGCCACCAGAGAGAGCGAAGCCCGCTATGACCACCAGCTTTAGTATCACATTAACTCTGCTTGGTCCACAGCACTACCACTAGGCTGTGTAACTGTGCATAGGTTACTAAACCTCTCTGAGCATCCTCTGTAAAAAGGTGATATAATGATGGTATCTATTTCAAAGGGTTATTGTTGGGAAGAAATGAGATTAAGCATGTTAAAATATTCAGCACATCATGTAGAGTTGTTCGCTAGAAATATAATGCAAGCCGTTGTGGCATCTAAAATTTTCGTGTTTAAAAAGAAACATGTGACATTAATTTTAATCATGTATTTTATGTAACCCAATACATTTAACCAAAAATGGCATGGTGGGGGACACCTGTGGTCCCAGCTACTCAGGAGGCTGAAGTGGAAGCATCACTTGAGCCCAAGAGTTTGAGGATGCAGTGACCTATGATCACACCACTGCACTCCAGCCTAGGTGACAGAGCCAGACCCTGTCTCAAAACATATATGCATATTAATGAAAAGTTTAACATTCTTCTACTCATGCTAAATCTTCAAAACCTGATGTGTATTTTATACTTCCAATGTATCTCAATTCAGATGCTAAATTTTCATCAGAAATACTTGCTTCTCATTTACATTTCATAAGATTTATACAATAGTTTAAAAACTATATTCACATACCCATTTAGTTCCAGGCTTTCTTAAATATTTTCTAATAACTGAGTACAGTACGTGTTTTTAAATTTAAAAATTCAGCTCTTCAGTTGCACTCAGCATATTT